CTCTGTTGCTCAGACTGGAGTGCAGTGGCCGCCCCGGCCTCTGCAGCCTGGACCTGCTGGGTTCCGGCAATCCTTCCGCCTCAGCCTTCCCAGTAGCTGGAATTACAGGCATGCGCTACCACACCCGGCCAATTTTTTTTTTTTTTTTTTTTGTAGAGATGAGGTCTCGCCAAGTTGCCCAGGTGGGTCTCAAACTCATGGGCTCAGGCAATCCACTCACCTCAGCCTCCCAAGGTGTGGGATTACAAGCTGAGCCACTGAGCCCAGCTGCTTCTACATTTCTAAGTCGTGTTCCTTTTAAGAGCAGTAGAAGGTTCTCTGCCTTAATTCCTGAGTAATATCTTAATATTGTGCCATTGACATTTTTCCTATAATTATTTCAGAGGTGGCCTTCAGAAGAAGGCCTCTTTGGTATAATTGCTGTTGAGGATATTTCACTTAAAAACAAATTTAACTTTAAATTTAATTTCAGGAAAACTTCAGGTTAAACTGTTAGGCTTTCATTTGTGTCAGGGTAAAAAAAAATTGTAATTCAGAGTATTATTTTCCCTACCTTTGGTAGGAAGCTTGGTTCTAATTACTGATTATTGTAGTACTGGGCTATTCAAATAGAATTTTGATTTTATAGTTCCCCTCTAGAATATAGTGTGTGTATAAGAGTGCATTCAGATTTCTAAGCCCTGTGTAATCAAGTTTCTTTTTTTATTTTGTTTTATTTTATTTTTGAGTTAGGGTCTCATTCTGTTGCCCAGGCTGGAGTGCAGTGGCACGCTCATGGCCACCCTAGTGTCAGTCTACCTGTTGGGCTCCAGTGATCCTTCCATCTTAGCCTTCCAACTAGCAGGAACTACAGGGATGTGGTACCACACCTGGCTGAGTTTTTTATTTTTTATTGCAGAGAGGAGGTCTTGCCAAGTTGCCCGGGCTGATCTCAAACCCACAGGCTCAGGCAATCTACTTTCCTCTGCCTCCCAAATTGCTGGGATTACAGGTTGAGCCACTGAGCTCAGCCGTTAAATTTCTTTTATAAATTAGTTAGAAAGTTTTAAGAAATTTTTAATTACTTTTTGTTTTTCAGATTAATATTGCCTGTAGTTAGCTTGGATAAGAAAGCTTTTAGAGTACTTTTAATGTTTTTTTAGCATATTTTCTATACACTGTGACTGTTTTGATGTAATTATTGTTCTGGGTCTTCAGAAGTGAATGATTTATTTTTTTAATTTTTTAATTTTTTTTTGAGTTGGAGTCTCACTCTGTCACCCAGACTGGAGTGCAGTGGCCGCTCCCGGCCACCGCAGCCTTGACCTGCTGGGCTCCGGCAATCCTTCTGCCTCAGCCTTCCAAGTAGCCGTAGTAACAGGCATGCGCTACCACGCCCGGCTGATTTTTTGATTTATTGTAGAGATGAGGTCTTGCTGCCCAGGCGGGTCTTGAACCCGCGGCCTCAGGCAATCCACTCACCTCAGCCTCCCAAAGGCACGGGATTACAGGCTGAGCCACCGAGCCCAGCTGTGAATGATTTATTTATGTATACATTTATACTGTTATCTGTAAATATATAGTTCTTCATCTCTAGTCTCTTAACTGCCTGTGACTTGAAGATAAGATAAAATTTCACAAAATATGAAGATGCTTCATGGTGTTGGTAGGAAAAGGTTGGTAATAAGTAAAGCCACTAAGAATAGTAAACAAAATAGGTAGCTGCATTGAAGATGAAGCTGGATCTGGGAAAATCTGGATCTCATCTCAGCTGCCAGTTATGGAGGCCTTCTCCCTACCCTAACTGATGGCATCTTGGGTGTCTGATTCAGGTGTGATTCTGTTGTGTGACAGGAAGCTCCTGTGAGAGCAGGGGTGGGGAGAGTGGTCAGAAATGTAGATTTTATCTAGGAAGTTAGTAAGGTTGACTGTTGGATGAATATCAAAAATTTCCAGGATGAACAACTTACGTTAAACCTTTTGGTATGTTTATAGCTATAACAGACTTGTGGTAAGCTCTATTAGGACAGGTGTTTTTGTGTGATTTATTCACTGCTGAGTCCCTAGTGCCTAGAATAATGCCTGGGTTATAGTAGGTAGTCAGTAAGTATTTGCTGACTTAATATGTTCTGTTGTTCAGATGAGTGGTGTTACAGTCAGTTTTTTCTTTCCAGGTGCAGATGCTAATTTCAGTATCTGGATTAAGAGGTGTCAAGAAGCTCAGAATGGTATGTAAGTTTCCCATGAGCTTTCAATTTAAAAAGAAGTAAATATTTGAAATTTTATGGTTTAAACAAATTTGTTTTTATCTTTATTATTTAAGTAGTACATGTTTCCTTAGATGTGGATATCCAAAGATACTGATTTTTACCTAGCTGCTGCTGTTTTTTTTTGAGTTGGAGTTTCACTCTTGTCACCCAGGCTAGAGTGCAGTGCCATGCTAATGGTCACTGCCGCTTCGACCTACTGGGCTTAGGTGATCCTTCTTCTTCCATCTCAGCCTTTCAAGTAGCTGGAACTACAAACACATGCTACCATACCCTGCTAGTTTTTGTCACTTATTGTAGAGATGAGGTCTTGCCAAGTTGCTCAGACTGGTCTCGAATCCTCAGGCTTGGGCAGTCCTCCCACCTTGGCCTTCCAAAGTGCTGGGATTAGGGGCTGAGCCTAGTTTACCTAGTTGAAAGATTTGGATGGATTTGCTTATATGATATTGATTGCCAATAAGAAATTACTAAGTAGTCTAAAATGACTCCAAGCTACAAAATCGAACCCCTTATTTTTAGTTGAAAGGTATGGAGACTTGGCTTGCTTAATCAGTATGTTTAGCCGGGCTCGGTGGCTCAGCCTGTAATCCCATGCCTTTGGGAGGCTGAGGTGAGTGGATTGCCTGAGCCCGTGGGTTCGAGACCCGCCTGGGCAGCGAGACCTCATCTCTATAATAAATAAAAAAATCAGCCGGGTGTGGTAGCACATGCCTGTAATTCCGGCTACTTGGAAGGCTGAGGCGGTAGGATCGCCAGAGCCCAGCAGGTCGAGGCTGCGGTGGCCGGGAGAGGCCACTGCACTCCAGTCTGGGCAACAGAGTGAGACTCCAACTAAAAAAAAAAAAAAAAAAAAAAATCAGTATGTTTGTGCCATAGAAATTGTGTAATTTTGCCTGAAAGTGTACTTTTACTGAAAATACTTCCTTTTTATGTTTTAATAGGATCAGAATCTGAGGTGGTAAGTCCAAAGTTTTCATCCTTCTTGTTTTTAACCTATTTATATTAAATTTCAAGTACCAGATATATTTGAGATAAGACTCAGGATGAGCTCTTCTGCAGTTATATATTAATCAGTTCAATTTAAATATTAATTCCTTTAGGAACTGAAATAAAATCATCTTTTGGAAAAAATAAATGTAGAGGTTTGTAGCCATGGAAATTATTGGGTTACTTTAAGAATTTAGTATGGTTCAAGTTGATTTCAGTCAGGATGGTTATTTATTATCTTTTCCTTGCTAAAAAGTCATCACATTTGTTTATGTTAAACAGTTTGAATCCCATGTAGGACTTCTTATGATAGACTAAGATACAAAGGTAAATGTGATCAGAAATGCTTATTTCTAATTGTGTTATATTTATTGTTTTGTACATGAAGACCTTCAACACTTTTCATTTATTAAAAATTTGGTGGAGTTGAGTAAAAGTAATTTTTATTCTTTTTTTTTTTTTTTTTTTTTGGTAATTGGAGTCTCATTCCGTTGCCCAGGCTGGAGTGCAGTGGCACACTTGTGGCCACCCCAGCGTTGACCTGCTGGGCTCAGGCGATCCTTCCGCCTCAGCCTTCCAAGTAGCCGGAAGTATAGGCATGTGCTATAAGTCTGTACAATAAGTGACAAAAACTAGCAGGGTGTGGTAGCATGTGTCTGTAGTTCCAGCTACTTGGAAGGCTGAGATGGAAGGAGAAGGATCGCCTAAGCCCAGTAGGTCGAGGCTGCAGTGACCATTAGCATGCCACTACACTCTAGCCTGGGTGATAAGAGTGAGACTCCAACTATTTTTTTTTAATTCATTGTAGAGGTGAGGTCTTGACAAGTTGCCCAGGCTGTTCTCAAACCCGTGGGCTCAGGCAATTCTCTCACCTTGGCCTCCCAAAGTGCTGGGATTACATGCTTGAGCCACTGTGTCCGGCCGTGATTTTTATTCTTTAGTTGACTTAAGTTTATATAGAACAGTTAAAATATGGTAGCAGTCATCTACATACTGAGCCAGTAAATAAATGACAAGGAGCTGGGAGATGCACTTGTACTCCTAACTCTCACTCTTTTTTTTTTTGAGTTGGAGTCTCTGTCACACAAGCTGGAGTGCAGTGGCATGCTCACTGCCGCCGCAGCCTCGACTTGCTGGGCTTAGGCGATTCTTCCACTCAGCCTTCCAAGTAGCTGGAATTACGGGCATGCGCTACCATGCCCGGCTAATTTTTCTTGGTTTTTGTAGAGATGAGGTCTCGCCAAATTGCCCGGGCTTGTCTCAAATCCGTGGGCTCAGGCAATCCTCTCACCTCGGCCTACCAAAGTGCTGGGATTATAGGCATGAGCCACTGCGCCGGGCCAGTCCTCACTCTCTATGGGCAATTGCTGAACTTTCTTTTTTTAGTTTCTTTCTTCACTTCTCAAGGAAGATTTACATCTCTGTTTTCTAAAATTACATTGTGATATTGAGAGTTACTTTCTCTCTGACAGTTCTTGGTATGGAAGCTACTAATAGATATAAGTTCATCTCCTTTAGGCAGGTTACTGTGAATTCCAGGTAACATCTGGGGTTTTGACCATTTTCTGAAAGTGAACCCTGTCCAGCTGTCTCTAACCTCCATTCTTTTTTTTTTTTTGAGTCGGAGTCTCACTCTGTCACCCAGATTGGAGTGCAGTGGCCGCTTCCGGCCACCGCAGCCTCGAGCCGCTGGGCTCTGGCGATCCTTCCGCCTCAGCCTTCCGAATAGCCAGAATTACAGGCGTGTGCTACCATACCTGGCTGATTTTTGATTTATTGTAGAGATGAGGTCTCGCTGCCCAGGTGGGTCTCGAACCCGCGGGCTCAGGCAGTCCACTCACCTCAGCCTCTCAAAGGTGTGGGATTACAGGCTGAGCCACTGAACCCGGCTTAACCTCCATTCTTGCCCATATTCCTAGGAATGGTAGGTGGGGAAGAATAAGTTGGGGAGGAGTTTGAGTTGACTTCCTTCTTCTTTCACCTGATAGTGGTTTTGTCGGGTCTTATGGTATTTGAAATTGGGACTAGGCCTAAAGATAACAGAATGACATTTGGATAACAAAGAAAATACTTTGTCCAGTGATATAGGTTGTATAGCTTTAGTGCATTTTGTCACTGCTGTGGTTTAATCTAGTTTTTTCCTGGTACCAGGATGAACTGGAATAATCTGTTCTAGTCAGTTTCTTCACTGATATGTTCTAGAGTCAGGTATTTCTCAACCCTTAATACTGGAGTATCTTCCTGAGTTACAATCAAATCTCTACGGTAGTTTTACTTATTTCCTTGATCCAAACTCCATTTCTTTCCTTCACAATTAGGGACACGTTAAAGGCTACCAATGACTCATGACAGGTTTTTGTTTGTTTGTTCGTTTTGGAGTCCTGGTCCTGCTCTCTGGCCTAGCCTAGAGTGCAGTGGCATAGTCACAGCTTACCAGAACCTCTACCTCCTGTGCTCAGGGAATCTCTCTGCCTCAGCCTCCTAAGTAGTTGTATCTAAAGCACATGCCACCATGCCCAGCTAATTTTTCATTTTTTTGTAGCGATGAGGTCTCGCTATGCTACGGGCTGGTCTCAAACTCCTGGGCTTACTCAGTCTTCTCTCTTGGGCTCCCAAAGTGCTGGGATTACTGGCATGAGCCACCATACCCAGCCCAGGATAGATTCTTTAGATTTTAGATTTACATAGTCTTAACTGGCACACATGTAGTTTAGGAAAGTATGAATTGTTAAAGTCACTTTGTTGTTTTTTTTTTGAGTTGGAGTCTCACTCTGTCACCCAGACTGGAATGCAGTGGCATGCTCCTGGCCACCACATTCTTGACCTGCTGGGCTCCAGCGATCCTTCCACCTCAGCCTTCCAAGTAGCTGGA